TTAATTTAAGATGAAGAAATTAAATAAATATGTTCGGTATATATATTGCACTATTGAGAAGTATTCATGGAACTAGCGAGCAAGAAAGGTGTCAAAATAAAATTTAGTTGTGAACAAGAGCCAAAAATCAAAACTCACTTGCACATTGAATGTTAGATTGAAAGTCAATTGGAAAACTCAAGCTTGGCTCATTGGATATATAATCAATAAGTAGCTCATTAAACATGACCAAATTTAAAGTCAAAGATGATTAATTTAAATGTGAAAAAAGACTATATTATTAATTTATCTTTTGAGATTTTGTGATGTCATAAGCAAGCTATCTATCACATTTGTAAGAAGGTCTACTAAAGCATCCTTTCAGAAATTATCATCATACATATATATATATATATATATATATTATGCTAAATAGAAAAAAAAAAAAATTGAAGGATAATTATGATCTATAGCTTAAAATTACAAGATATTTCAAGCATGTTTGCTTTTCTTTAGGAATTTGTGTTCAATGCTTCAAAAGTGTATGTTATCCAACACTAAGTGTGGATGAAGTATTTTTGAATATGCGTTGTGGTTATACTTTACACATAACATAATAGCAAGATGTTAACACAAATATTTACACAATGCATTTTATAGTAGCTAACTTAGAAAATAACAATTCATGGATGTATTTATCAATAACAACATTGGTAATGTTTTATCCAACACAAACTAAGTGAGTCAATCAATATAGTGGAAAACTTAATGCTCATCTCTGACTAACATAATAACATTGTTAATGCTTTATCCACAACATTTTCAAAGGCACACCATGGAGCTCATGCTCATCATTATGCAATGAATACCATGGTGAAGCGTAAAATTGATTTTTGTCATGACAAGTAGCATTTGGATTATAAAGCTTACATAATGATTGAGTTTTATAGGCACTTTGATAAATATGAGTCAAGAACCTTACCATAGGTTTCTATCTAGAGAATGAAGTTGGCTTTGAATTGTTGGATTTTGCTTTCTTTCTTAAGAAGTAATACAACATGATCACAACCAATGTTTTAGAGAGCTTTAATAATATTACTAAGAGCACACACTCCTATCCAATAACTATTTTTTGTTGTAGTTTTTTTAGGCAAGTAATGTATAAATGGTTATTTGATATCGCATCATTTAAGTGAATACATAGACTATTTTGGTGAAGGAAATTGAAAACATGATTGAGGAAACTCTTTGATAAGAAATAAAATTTGATTGTCTACCCCATTAGTTAACTTAAATTGAAGTCATAGTTTGACACAGGTTCAAACTATTCAAACTTTTGTTTAGAACTATGTTCGAATTATTTTAACTACGACTTTGAACCACCAATTCAAACGTGGCGGTTTAAATTAAATTTGAATCACAATTTCAAATTAAATTTGAACCACAAGTTTGAATTAGTTTCAAACTTAGTTCAAATTTGATTAGAATAAAATTAGAACTGTGGGTCAAACATAATCCAACTCAAACAAAAAAAAATCGTGTTAGATTCACGTAAGCAATCCATGGATTAAAAAGGGGGCATTTCAGCTCAAAGTAAATTTTGAGTATATTCCTTTTTAAAAATAAATAATTAACATATTTAGCCAATTACAATTATTATGAAGCATAAAAATAAATTTTATCTTATTTTATTCTCCGAAAATTATATGTACCACCTAATTTAGTTATTAAATTTTTTAAAGATTATTATCAAGTTTTGAAATTAAATTTATCTTAAATTGAATTCATACTTTCACACTTAAACTTTTTAAAACATATCAAAAAAATTTTGCGAGCAAAATATTTTATAACACAAAATAAATTTAAAATGAGAATTTTCAATGGCATGTTGACATCTCTTCATGCACATTGAGGTGACAGATGAAAGTGAGGCATGAAAAAATTTTAAGATATGTTGATAGGAGTCATCTCATTTATAAGATGATGAGTTAGAAGACATTAAACAACATAACCTTGTACACAAGTAAATGAGTTAGCAGATGTTGACAAATATTTCCTTGTCTTTAGGCCATCAACTTAGGTTGTGTTGTGATGGGTCAATGGTACTTTTATGATTCCTTACATGCCCCTCAATGTTATTAAAACTCTCTTTAAGTTCAATAACTCTTTTATTCTCCCACCAAGTTATATAATTTAGTCAAAATATACACAACATTGCCACCTTTCCTTCTTTTACCTCCACACACCAAAACTTTCATATCACAACCCCTAACAACTTTCACATCATTTTTAAACATCCCAAGCTATTCATATAATTCATATACCCATTATTTATCCACTTAACTCTTTCTTAAGCTTCAGATAAAATTAAATAGCTAAAAATCAGCTCAACCCGTTATTCCTAGATAAATCTTGAAAACCCTTAGATCTCCTGCTACCTAAAGCCTTTTAAGCCCCAAATAACATTCATTGGGTTCCCATACATCTCCTCATACATATTAAAATCACTCATCTCAGCCCTTCCCTCAAAAGTCCACTGCCATACACCTTGCATTATTTCATCTTGGGATATGATGTAAGTTAACACTGCACATCATATAATTGCATCATTATAAGGGATAGAATAATTATAATAAATATAATTATGAATATTTACCTTATTTGAGGCATGTAGGGAGATTTCATAGTGATGAGATGTTGATGTGCTAGTTGTGTTTCCATAAGAAAATTATAAATTAGGGGTGGGTTCCTTGAAGCTATCACTTCACTCATCCTACTCTTTGAGCTATGGAAGAGATTTCATCTTCTTTAGTTGTGTTACCACATTAAAAGGGGTGGCTCTCCAATCACCACATGGCAATTATAATGAACTAGGTTTATGGTGGTGCACATTTTGTTTATAGAGATATTGCTATAGCGTTAAATGCTATCATCAACATGTCAATTATATCCTTAGAATCACTACGTAATTTAATGAGCAACAAGATTGAATATTCCTCGAGATTGAGATTGATCATACAACTATTGAGGGGAATCTACTAAGAATGGGGAGATATCCTTTAGGTTAGGAGTTGATTTCCATGAAAAGTCTATTTAGAATGAGAAGAACATCCTAAGAACAAGAATGAACCTCTTGAGGATTAGAAGAAAATTCTCATGTTCTCGGAGATCCAATGATGATATTGACATCATGCCATATCTAATGCTAGAATGTAGACTTTTATGAGCACAATAATTGAAAAGTATATTTTCCCGCTTCAAGATATTTTAAATGATGAATAGTGCCTTGAAATGTAGATGCTTATGAGCACAATAATTGAAGAGCATTTTTCCCCTATTTCAATATATTATAAATGATGAATAGTTCTTTGAAATGTTACCCACAATTTTGTTGCCCAGCTTCTTAATACTTATCCCCTTTTATGTTGCATCGATCATGATATTACGTGCGTTACAGGTAACGAAGAATAGTTCTCCATTACTACAAGCAAAATAAATATTTATGAGAGTAAAATCCATAAAAAATGAGCTATTTCCATCGAAAATTAAATTTTTTGGTGGATTTATGGCAAAAATTAAATCGTCGTTGAAATCTTATACAAAACATCTATCGATGTTTTGTTTTTTTTTCACAATAACAAAATTTATGTGGATTACCAGTAGATTTTTCGATGTAAATATTGACATAATATGATGCATTGTAAACAGAGAATTTTTGACGCCTTACCCACAACCTAGATCCACCATAAATTACCTATTTTTTCGACATTTAGAACAATTAAGGCAAACTCATACACATATCACATACTGAAGACTTGAACCATAAACCTCTTGATTAGTAGCCAAAACTCTAAACCGAAAAACCACGATAAGTTGCGCCAGAAATTACCGTTCAATTTACAACAGAAAGAGCCGTGCTACAAAATATTTACGTGGTTCAGACTGTCCCTAATTCATTAAAAATTTTGATCGCAACTATCATCGATAATTGTTGAATATTCAAGGGATGTTTTTCACCGAAAAATTTGACAGCTTAGTTCCATAGGTGCTTTGTCAAAAAACTACTTAATGTAATTTTTGATGGAAAGTCCAAAAATATAAAGGACCAATTAATTTGCTTACATCTCTATGTTGTAAGAATTACCAAGTTTAAAGGCAAAGATAATTATGACTAGAAGAGCCCAAAATCATGACTTTATGTAACTATTGAACATTTATGTTTTCCTCTTACCAAAATATTAAGGGTTCATTTAGGATTTTTTTTTTATAATTTTAATTTTTAGGCCATTGGCATATTATTGTTTTAATATTGTTATCTTGCTAAGTTTTAATATTTTTAGTGATGAAAATTAATTTTTATTATCATATTTATTAGTGTGTGATAACTATAAAAAATTATTTTTTGTAAAATATATATTACCCATAGTAGCTTCAAAAAATTGTTATATATATAATTATATTTCTAAATATATTTTTAATCAAAATTTCATTTAAATTAATTTGAAGATAATATTAAAATAAAATATTTTCATTTTGACTCAACTTTGATTCAAAACAAGATTATATTTTTTTTAATTTTAAATTTTGACCAATTTGCTCTCTGTATCATCTACAAAATCAAACAATTTATTGAAAATATTAAAGTTGAGAAATAAATAGGGGTGTAACTATGTAAGTGAGTCAATTTTACTCGTAAGCCCGCTTGACCTCAGCTCAATACATAACTAGTGAGTCAATAGTGAGTTAACGAGATAAGTATGATCTTTTTTAAATGTTTCTTTTAAAAAAGTTATAATTACGATATCACCCTCAATCTTTTAATTATTTTACAGCATCTATTTGAAGTAGCTTTTTTCAGCCGTTTGATTATTGCTATTGTTTTTTTTTTTAATTTATAATAAAAATTTATTTTTTACAATGAAATTTATGTCAAAAAGTAAAGACCTCTTTATTAAAATATTAAAAAAATTATAATATCCAAATTACTTTTTTATGCAGCTATAACTATTTTCCCAAACTAGCCCTAGTTCCGGACGTCGCGCAACCTCCGCATCGATAAAGAAGCCAGTTTCTTGCGCTTGTGCAACGCAGTGAGATTTTTCCCTGCAAAGGAGGCGATTTAGGGATTTTGAAGTCCGATCGCACTGGAATGGCTCTGGAGTGGGTTGTCCTTGGATACGCTGCCGGCGCAGAGGCGGTAATGCTACTTCTCCTTACTCTACCAGGGCTTGGCCGTCTCCGCGCGGGGCTTGTGACGGTGACGCGGAACTCGCTCAAGCCGATGCTATCGGTTGTGCCGTTCTGCCTCTTCTTGCTGATGGATATATACTGGAAGTACGAGACGCGGCCGACGTGCGACCAGGAGCACGCGTGCACGCCGATGGAGCACCTTCGCCATCAGAAATCGATCATGAAGAGCCAGCGAAATGGGCTCCTGATAGCCGCCGCGCTGCTACTTTACTGGCTTTTGTTCTCTGTCACAAACCTCGTTGCTCGCATCGAACAGCTTAGCCAGCGCGTCGAGAAGCTCAAGCGGCAGGACTGAAAGGAGATCCGCTGGGAAGGAAGGCCCGGTTGGTGAAGGCTCGATACTCTAATCTTTTCCAATGCTTTTAACTTTCTTTTGTCCCGTTGACTGGTAAATCCGTGTTTCAGATTTCAGCCGGCTGTTTGTTTGTTTTTGAGTCTATGCTCTATTGGTCTTTATTTGTGTACAACCGAAACTTTTATGGTTCTATAAGTTGTGTTTTTCAAATAATGCTTTACTGCTCTTGTTAGAGGAATTCCTTCAGTTCGTACTTACGATTGTTGTTCTGTTTTTAATCGATTAAATCATTTAAACGATTGAATCATTAGTGATGAGGATAGTCTCTTTTCTGGTCATGGAAAATATGTCTGGAATCCATGGGTTAGACTATATATTGCATCTGAAGCACACCTATGAACTGTAAGTTATAATTGCTTGTTTAAATTCTGTTTTTTTTCTCCTGATACGCTGTAGAGGACAAATAGTGAAACACATCCTGTTTTCTATGCAGATCACATGCAATTATGCATATATTTTTAGTTTTTGATTTTCAGTATCTTTTCATGACACATGACTTGTTGTCATATTTTCGATCCATAAGTAGTTATTTTCCTTAGGAAATTTCTGTCTTTAATCTTGGTGCCTTCTTAGTGCATTGTATCTTGTACTTAATCAATGGCTTACTCGGAACAATACTTTAGATAAGTTATTTATAGTGGCCATCACAATTAACTATAAGTTTGGAAGAAGTTTTATAAATATCTAATTTAGTTAATGTATGTGTCTGGTGGAAGAGGGACAGGGGAATGCTCCCCCACATAGCCCTTGGTTTCTTTAGTGTATGCAATTCTTATCATTTCATAAAACATAATTCAAAGTGTTTAGAGTTTATAATGTTTCAATTATCCAAGACCTATTATATTTCATTTATCTCATAAATTGTGCTGTTTGTAAGACTTATATTCTCATATTCTATGAAAATTTTATTCTCCTCTTTCTATTATTATTATTTTGCATATGCTTTTACAATGTACAAGATCAACCAAGTTGGAGTTTGTTGAACATAAATACATTGTTTAAACTAATAGGTATATTACACCTTTAGTCATATACTAATGAACTAATGATCCAATCACAGACTCATGCTGATGGGATTGAGGTTTAATGTCCTTTTTTGTAAATGTGTTACATGTTCCTTTATTAATGTCTTCTCCATTGATGTCATGACTTCTCTAGCTGTAAGTGCATCCCCTAGTGATCCCCTTGACTTCTCCTTTGGTTTCCATAGGCTAGGTAGAGTTCATATTGTTCAGGTAGGCGTGGTTGACGACAGTATGATTAAAGGCTCTTTGCCCGCTTGCTTAGGCGCTTCGACAAGGTGAGGCAAGACTAGGCTATTGTGGCTCACACTCTTCCCTAGCTAGCACCATTCCTATGGCATTGCTTAGGTGATTCCTTTGGTTTAAATTTCTAGGTGATGAGGTTCTCACCTTTATATATAACCATGATATGTGATTTGGAATCTATATGAAGCAATGAATATGATAAAATGTTTGGGAACTTTAAAAGTCACTTCTAAATACATATTGAATCATAAAAAAGCTTGATTTAGTGTATGTGAAGTAAAATCAAGCTCTTAAGGCTTATCACAAGATGTAAAATCTCATTGTTTCAATCTTTCTCAATGACATGGATGATATTAATGAGCAGTTGATTGGAAAGGTGAGTTCTAAAATCTCTATTGCATTAAATAAATTGGTGTTTTATTATGAAGAATTGATGAGTGGTGATATAGAAGAGTATCGGAAGTAGAGAATAAGGGATGCTCCCTAGGAAATATGTCAAAGTAGTGGTGTAAACAAGTTGACTCGAGGATTTGCCTAATTGAGATAAGCTTGTTTTGTTCTTACTGAGCTTGAGCTCAACTTGAGTTCATTTACTATGCTAGAGGTTGACTTGTTAAAAATTTTATAGGTTCGAGCTTGGCTCGATTGCTCGAGGTTGTTTGGAAAGCTCGTGTTTGACTCGATTATTGAGCTCTATTTCTTAGTTTTAAATTAAAAAATTTAGTTTTTATAAAGTTTTTATTTTTAATATAGAATTATTATAAAAATGTTAAAATATATTATATAATACTAATTTAAATTAAGTTTTTAATATTTTAAGTTAATAGAGTGGCTCAACGAGCTTTCGAGTCGAGCCAGGCTGAGCTTGAGCTCGTTTAATATACAAGCTCGAGTATAGGCTTGAGCTTGAACTTGTGGCTCGATAAGCTCGTCTCATGAGCTCGTTAACGAGTTTTGCTTGCGAACCGGCTCGCGAAATTACACCCCTATGTCAAACTAAACATGCATAATTGCATACAAGAGCTTTTATATATATCATAATTGATTTTGATGAGGAGGATATACTAAGGTGACAGAAGAAGAGCTGGAGGGGCTACAATTGTTATGATGGGAAGAATAGCTTGGGTGACAAAGTTTTTTTAATCTCTAGATTTGCAAAGTTTTTTTTAATCTCTAGATTTGGGATGGAATAATACTTGAAAATGCATTTTCTCCCTACTATAGTGTAATATTTCATGTGATTATTATTATATTATATCCTCCAAAAGTAATCTTCATAATTAAAATATGTGAATATTTTAGCATCTTAGTTCACTCAGAAGCATGTAGGCTATTGCCTAACACCATAGAGAATATGTAGTCATATAGCCTTAAGTGCACCTAGCAATTTTAACAACATCTGTTGATGAGGACTTGCTTGGGATTTGAGCTCACACAAGAGGGTCTTGGATTTCCAAGGGTGAATGTGGGGGGCTCTGACCATTGGAGAGCTTGTTTCACACTGGTAGGCTATTAGTGAAGGGATTCATAAAAAAATTTGGTATCTGAGTCCACTTAGTCCCTATGTTGAGTGGAAAGTATATATCTATATTTTTTTTGTTTTCGTGGCTGTTACTTCTACACTACCACAGTATTTTACCAGGTATGCTATATTGCTATTAAATGATTTCGTTTATTTTCTTTAGTTTAAGAGAGCCATGAAAATTTTATGGAGTTAGACCTGTGTTTCTTCTTTCTGCTTTAGTTGATAGGTACTTCTTTGTATGTTTTACAGAACACAGTATATTTCAGTAGGCTTATTGTTAAATGTTTTAATTGATAATATGTGGTGAAAATGAGCCCTACCAAATTTATGTAGTTAGATACAGTATCTTAACTGGTTATATTATTAAATTTTTTCGTTGATTTTCTGTATTGTACATGAGCCATGGCAACTTTATGTAGTTACACCAGTGTTTCTGGTTTCGACTTGAGTTTATATGTCATTCTTTGCACGTTTTACAGTAACACAGTATATCTCACTGGGCTTATTGTTAAATAGTTTATTTGATATTATCAGGTCAAAGTGAGCCCAAACAATTTTATGTAGTTTGATGAGTGTTTCTAATTTCTGCTCAATTTATAGTTTCCTTTTTACATGTTTATGTTTAAATTGATTGCATTGATTTTCTTTTATGTTCTTGTTTGAAGTAGTTGTATTTCTTCTTTGATTAAATTTTGATTGCTTGTACTTTCCTGTTTTTTTTTCCTCGTTGACATCTAGTTTAAATTTTTTTTTTTTTTTTCCTTTTGAAGTTATTGCTAGCCATTTATTGATTATAGATTATCATAAGGAAGTTCGAATATGCTGGCAGCTCTGAAAATTTTCCTCGTAAGTTTATAGGTGTAATAGTTATTGTATTGGAATGTGAACGTATGGAGCTCATGAACAGTGGATTACTTTGTTTGGTGAATGGTTTTGGGTTGGTAGGTTTAGGGGCCTGGTAAACGGGGGTTTTGTTGGTGTTCAAGTTCCAAGGATTTGGGTAATGAGAAGGAATGCTAGAAATTAGGGGATATTTGGTTGCCTGTATTGCAGAACCATTACTCCTTTGAAAAAATTAATAGATTTTTTTTGTAATATATTGGATTTAGCATGATATTATATTTTTATATAATATTGTGATAAATTATAATTATACATTTGCATGCATATGTTTATGTAGTTACATGTATAAACTTCTGTATATTTATTATATCTGTAGGTATGCATGAATAAACGTAAACATCTATTGGCATACCATATTATGATAGATAAGTAAATAATGGAATTAAAAAATTATTAACATGATAACAATATTCATGTAAATTATAATGCAGTTTCTTTTAATATTGTAATAATTTACATCTTTTATATGTAGATGAGAAATTTGTTGTATAACTTAGATGAGTAGTTATGAATATATATTTTAGTGGTGTGAGCAAAATTATTAAAAGCAACAAGAATGTGGTATTCAAATGATGAGAAATTATTGATTTTTTTGGCTTTAATGAGTAACAAATTGACATTCTTTAGTTTTGTTAAATTTAATGTGGGTTAAGATGATTAATTTCATTAAGAAGATTACTATGTAAGTTTATTATACGGTTCGGAAATTTTTTTTGGATCAACATGACTTATTTAACTTGAACATGATTCGTTTATTCATTAAACTTGAATATGAATAATAATAGGGTTAATTTTGGATATTGGGTCAAGATTTTAGACCTGAATCTGTACTGAAAGTAATTAGGTCAATCTGAATTCTTTTAGTCCAATTCATATTAAATTGTTGCCCCATATTCTTCATTGATACTTATTGCTGATAAGTGTTCTATTGCTATACTTGTTTCTGGCTCTGGTTTTTACTTATCTTGTAAGTTTTTCTCCAGCTAGAGGCTGCTTGTTCTTTTTGCTTTGCTTCTTTGTTATTTGCTTGAGGGCACCACGGTAGGATTTAAGTTGTGGTTTATGGCCTTTTAAAGGCTATATGTTTATGTTTCGTGGCATGCAGTTAGGTGGAGGTGAATCATTTCTTCTTTCTTCACCGTTAGACCTATGGTAGGTGATTGTTGATTGTTCCTTTCTTCACCATCAGATCTATGATCGGGTGGTTGTTACGTTGTATCTTCCTAGGGATAGGGAGGTCAACTGCCAACACGTGCACTTCTCTCATTTTTGTCGCACATATTGGGGGTTTGTTTGTTGACATCCTCTTTGGCATTGCTCACTTGCATGTCCTTGTTGTATATTTTATAGGTCGGTCTACCTTCCTTCATGTTGCACCATTGTGTTTAATGAATGGTCAATTTGCACATATCTCAATTCGTCATTAGTTTTAAAATTTATTTCTTTTGATCACATTTTGTTCTTTATTATGTTTTAAAAATATATGTGATTTAGTTGATGCTGATTTGATGAGTATTTTTTGTGAATTCATGCATTTGAGTCTTTCATGCA